GACAAGTTATTTCTGGAGCATAGTCAGTACGTGGCTCAGGGGGACAAGGTGCCAGAGGCTTTCAAAAAGGTGTTTTCCACTCAGTATGTGAATGCGAGCTGGTATGCGCACTTGAGTCTTTGGAAAAGTTTACATGATGGGAAAGCACCGCCGAATATTCTGAATACATACCAGCAGACACTGAACGCGGGAGCAACGGAGAATGGACACTGGTCACTCGTGCACGACGCAGCAAAAAGGAAATAACCTTATGTTATTTATTAGTTTAAATTTTTTTTTTTTTATTATTCAAAAAGCTTAACGGGCCTCCGCAGTTTTGCTACCGTTTTTTCTTCAGACCACCATCATGGAGAGTAACACCCGCTCTGAAATGAAGATTCCCTCTGCCCTTCTTGACAGGCTCAACCGCGAAAGTCAGCAGCGCCAAACCCCTGATGGTGATCGTGCACGGCGTCTCCTGTCATTGCTTGCTCAGAGCCACAACATCCGTGACTGTTCTTTACGCAACCAGCCCGACAAGATTGTTCAGACTCTTCGGCAGAAGGCAGTACAGTTCCGACTTCATTTTGTCCAAGCCCTGCAAGAGCCCGTGGGACTGGATGAAGTGGAAAAGGCATTACGACAGCTCATTCGGCTAGGCTGTCTTGATGTCGGTGTGCGTACTCATTTTATTAATTGTTCTTCCTCTTCTCACGTTAAACAGGCTATGCAAACACAGGGGAATCCGAGGGCGTTGAAGTGCCCAACAGTCCCGACAGTCCTGATGACCCCAATGTGATACCAGACCCGCCTCGGAACGTTGTACAACGGTGGGAATATAAGAAGTGCCTCTCTGACAAAGGCGTGAGACGCATCAACGTAAAGTTCCTGGTCGCACCTTTTGATCCCTGTGACAGGTGCGCTGACAGCAGGAGCACTATGGGAGATGCTCAGTTCTAGTTGAAGAGTCTACTATTAACCTATCTGATTAAAAATGGGTTATCGTCATCCGTCAGATCTATAATGGCGGGTGGAGGCGTTTTGGTCTGAGTTGATGTCATAGCCGTGTTGTGGAATCTACATATGATTGGAGTAGGCATAGGGATTTAAATGCAACGACGAAGTCGCTACTGGCGCGCGGCCTTTTCTGGGTGGCGAAAGGACAGACCTCATCCGCTAGCTCCATAGGACCTAGAAGAATGTGGTCACCCGCTTGTACGTTGGTGAGAGCCAAGGCTTGGGCCTGCCAGTGTCCGTCAATGGGAATACAGTAAATGCGGAGTTGCTCGGCGCTTTTTTGAGTGAACTGGATAAGCTCTGAGCTCTGACAGGGAAGAAAGAGAGGGAGCGCATCAGCTGGAATCTTGCAAGATTTCGGCTTTTGATCAAGGGCCTATTGAGAAGCTGAGTAGATAGGTAGCTTAAAGCCAGAGGGATTACGCACTGAGCACCACTCAATGGTAATGGCTCTTTCTAGTTGACGTCCAATCTCCGGCCGACTGAGATGGCGGGCAGTCTGTACTCCTCCAAGCTGAGAATTTTGAGCAAACGACGGGGGAAAACTGTTTTGAAGAAGGTTGTTGGAGAGGTTATTACCGTACAAGCGCCTATAACATGACGCGGGTGTAGGTGTAGTTTGCGCTGACTGGATGGGTGACGTGGAAGCCACAGAGGGTGTGGACACATGGATATGGTGGACACGCTTGATGGTGAGTTTAAATTTTGTACAGCTGAGAAGCAGGCATTAGTACTGGCCACAACGCGGATAAAATTCGTATGCCAATGATCTGCAAAAATGCAGCCTTGCTCAGGATGGCATGTCTTAAGATTGAGACAGCACTCTCAACAGATAAAGTGAGAGCATGCGTCACTACGGAGCCCCTGCCCACTGCAGAATGCCGTTTCAAGACAGTGGACCTCCCTCGGAGGCTAGGAAGAATTTTTAGCTCTCAGCAAATAAAGGAAGAGATATCACTTGCCTGCGCATTTGTTTCCGAGTCAGCTCCAAGAAGAAAATAAACAGCACATCTGTGAGAACGCGCCTCGTTGGGAATGCCTTTGGGTAGGCGCCCTTTAGCAGGCCAACATAAAGAGCACTGTAGAGGAGGTGAGGTTTGGGAAACAGATAGGTAAGCGACTTCCCTTGGAAAAGTACTGGCCATTAAGACCAACCACAGAGGAGTTCCTTCCTTATCTTATTAGAAGGAAGAATAGTCCCAATCTGGCACTTAAAGCAGAGAAAGCCCACAGAAGGGATGCTCTCCTCCACTGTATTGTTGATACAGAAAACAGAGAAACGCGCCCACAAACCTAACGTCACACCAATGCCTGACCGTGAAGGCATCATCAGGCCTTCTTAGAACAAAGCCCTAGTCACAGATGTGAGATCAGCATCAGCTGTATTCTGATGACAGCCCCAGCTGTGTTGCCAGAGCAGCCCCGTATACCTTAAGCAAACACCTTAAGCTGTCTTGACTTGAACAGCTCTGGTGGTCTGTGACAAACAACTGGGGTTGCCTTAAGTAGTAGGACCATAGGTTAACTGGGAAACCAGCTACAGGCTGTCTGAGTGGGCAGCTGGAGTTGCCTTGAAGGGCCAGCCCCAGTTGATTAAGAAGAAATGACTGGGCTGCTTTGAAGAATACAGCTATAGGTGATGTCTACAGCAGTCTACTTAATACAGCCCTAGCTAGCTTGACAATGCTACTGCTGCTGCCTCATGAATGTAGCTAGAGGTTTCTCCACAACCTAGCTAGAGCTGTTCTAGCTCAAGCTAGCAGTCTCCAGAAAGAATGTGGAGAGTTGATAGTAAGACTGTCGATCTCGGAAATGTGGAGTAAATGAATTGCTAAAGCTGATGCCAAACATGTGCATACATTCACACAACATCTGCTTAATATAAGAGTAATATTCAACATAGTGTTTGGCAGCTTGGCGTGCAACAAGGCATGTGATTGATGTGGATAGGACAGATGATGGCTAGAATCCCCAGCGGTTGTCAGGCAATGGTCCTTCAACCTTACAGTTTACCTCTGTAGTTTCTCTTTGACAAATGGAGTTTTTAAACTCTTATATCCATTATCTATAGTCCTGCTTCTCTCTGTAAAGGGAGGCATCAATGTCATAATAATTCATCATTGACACTGAAAAGACTATAAAGAACCTGTAAGGGCAACCCCAGAGTCCTGAGATCAAGGTCCTGGCAGGGGAGGATCAAAAGAAAAGAAACTCTAAGGGTCCACCTGCTAGGGAGCGGAATTATATACTATGCTCTTGACATGTGAAGTGTGATTATTGCTCTAAGCAGTATGCCTATGCCATATTGCAGGCTAGGTCCCAGGGGATCTCCAGGGCAGGGTGACGATGCGCCTGATAGAGGCGGTAATAAGATCACCGGAGTCGGACTGGAATCGGGATTGGAATCGGCAGCCAAAGGGGAGGTTCCCCTGACAGCAGTGTGGTGGTTTATTGAAGAGCTCAAAGGGTTACAGGCCTGCGGGTAGTGTTGACTACTATGACTAGGGCCAGGCCCAAGCCCTGAAGCCCAGCCCGGCCAAGCCCCCAGCAGCCCGGCCCTGGGGTGGGGCTTGTCAGGGCCTAGGGCTCAGGCTTGGGGTTGCCGAAGCCCTCGGAGGGCTTCAGGTCCTAAGCCCTCAAAGCCCCACTTTAGCCGAGGGCCGGGGCTCGACTTCCTCCCAAGCCCAAGCCCTGGAAAGCCCGGCCCTAAACAGGGCTTCGCAGGATAGCCCTAGCGATGGCGGCGTCCGGTTCGGCCTTCCGGTTCGAACCTGAACTGGACCAAACCGAATGCCCGTTCAGGTTCAAAGTTCAGCCCAAGGCTGAACCTGAACCTGAGGTTCAGTTCGGTGTTCGGCCGGTGTTGGCTTTACCTGAACCGAGTCCGAACGTGTTCGAACACCGAACGCCGGAGGCACCGGGCCAGCGTGCCAATCCCATATTGACGCAATTTGGATGCAGCCGGCACGTGATATGACATGATGTCTTGACATTCGCACTGTCATTGCACTGTCACCGCCCATAATGCCGGTGCCGCATGTCGCGAGGGCGAATGATGCCTGTGCCAAGACTCCCCGGACCAGGACGGGGCCTTACCAAGTAGCAGCCGGGGCCGCGGCAAGCCTTTAAGTCCTTGTTTTGCAAGGAATGGAGGTAGACGGTATGTACCATCCACTGTTACTGCAAAACAATATATGAAACTTAGAGACATAATCCTTTTTTTTTTTTTGCCCCCAGGTTCAAGGTTCGAACACGTTCTGAACGCGAACCGAACCGCACTGAACCTGAACGCGAGGTTCAGTTCGGAGTTCAGCCAAAGGCCGAACCTGAACCGAAGTGCAGGTTCAGCGTTCGGCCAAAAAAATGGGCCGAACCTGAACCGAACTGAACCTCGCCATCTCTAGATAGCCCAGCCCTAGACATTACTACCTGCGGGATCACAGGCTACTGTACCTGAGGCCTGCACTTAACTAGTGATATCAGGTCAGCAGTGATGATGCACCTAATAGATTGAGTGGGAGTATGGCTTCTCTCTGAGGGTTGGAAAGGTAGGTTCCCCTGACAGTATTAGAATGTCATTGCAGCCTATTGAGCTGTTTATTCAAATATATATCAGTAGAATTATAAGGTACTAAATCCTGAGTCCACCAACACTATAGAGTAAGTACTGTACTATCTTATTCCTCTTCTTGAAGGTGTGACATAAAGTTTTGTCACACATTCCCCATGAGGCAATTTGAGCACTGGATATACAAATTACAGCAATAACCCTTTTGGGAAAGGCCTCCTGCCTAACAACATGACTGTTGCATGACTGATGAAAAAAAATCATTAGAACATTCTACTAACTTCCAACTACAACCTTGGTACATTTGTTGTATATCACAAAGTATGGAACCATATAGCGTCATGTTCTGAACTATGTTGTTTGGCTTTTATCCCCAAGATTTAGGATAGTCTGGCAGTGTCAACATCAGTGCAAGATTACCAGTGTATAGAACACATCATACCATCAGTGTTTCAAACTCATCGATCAACCTTTGAGGCCACTGATGCTGCAGCGTACTGATGGTGGCTTGATAATATCTGTAACGACATTGATAACATGTAGTTGGTGGTCCACACTCCGTATTGAAAAGTCGAAGAACCAACTCTTGGAAGCTCAAACTTCCTACCTCCACTGCGCGACCAGGAGTGTATTGATATTCCTGTGCCAGCTTGCTGAGCAGAGACTTGAAGAAGGACTTCGTCCCAAGTGTAGTAGTGCCAGAACCGGTCCATTTGACAGAGCAATTAGGGCATTGGGGCCACCCTACATAATCATAGTCCCAGGCAGACGTTTTGGCTAATGCTGTTAAGGCCTCATGGCAGCCAATATGATATTGCAAGAGCCTGTGGAGTGAATGGGGGGAGAGATGCTTCCATGAGGCTGGCAGAGCATATGTGCTTGTTCGCAGAGGCAATTTCAGACATTCTTTGGCCGCCTCTTTCGCCAGATCCTGCCAGCTGTGCCGCATCGCCACAGCAAAGACCGCCAGCGCGTCGGAGGCCAAGAAGTTGCGCAGCTGTCCCTGGGCTATTGTAATCAGGGACTGCATGTCATACTTCAAGATGACTAGCTCCAGCACGACCTCAAGCTCGGCAAGCGTCATTGTCGTCGTGGGCGGCGGAACCCCAGGGTACCACAAGGCCAGCATATGCTCGAGGACTGCGGACGACTCGCTCATGCGGACCTTGGGGAGCGCTTTGACGTGGGCATCCGGCGCCTGAGGCTGAGGAAGTGTGAACATGGTGCGGAAGATGGGCGAAACAAGGCCGAGGACAACGCGATGGAGGTGGAATTCAACCTGATCAGAGGAAATCAGAATGACATCGGCGGAGGGATCGTTGAAGATCTCGGAGGTCGTGCGGGGAGGAGCAGCCTGAGGGGCATTGGGAGCCTCAGACGAGTCGGACATCGAAGTGTGGAGGCAAGGAGGTAAACACGTGTGCTCCCACGTGCACTGGCGAGTCAGGTTGGAGGCCATCGATCAAACTTCCCGTCGGATTCGCAGCGGTCTTGGTTACTAGTATAAAGCCTTTAAGCGGTTGTGCGGCTCGTTTTATAAGTTAAAATACGGAATACATGAATACAAATCGAACCTGGCCCCATAATTAAGTACCTGAGATTCAATTCACCATGCAGTTCCCTTCGTCTCCATGCCGCGGTCCGAGTCCCGGTCCTGCTCGACCTCGAAGTCCGTCCGCACCGCGATGGTGATGCCCTGGGCGTTAAACGGCGGGGGTGGGTACTACGTGTCCTGATCAACGGAAAGCCTTCAAATAGCAAAGGAAGGCAGCGCACCGGTGGGGTCATGTTCGACATCGCGTGGTCGGAGTGGCTCCGCGAGCCAGACGCGTTCTGGCGCAGGTCGCGCAGGACGGTGCGCGAGTTGAGGCTGGGTTGAAGATAGTTGCATTAATACGGGGGAAGGGAAGAGAAGCGACTTATGGCGCACCTGGCGAACAAAGAGTTGGCGAACATGCGCGCTTCCATGACGAACAGCCCCATCCAAACGACTGCATCGCGGAGTAAGTAGTAAACGGGTAGAATGGTTGAGCTCACTCACAGTTATGCGGCATCGTGTGGAACTGGAGGTCATATGTCAACAAGAGAGCGACAATATTGCTGGATAACTTGCGCAGATTAGCATGACGGTAGTGAACGTGCTCGTAGCCACTCCCGTCTCTGTCAGATATCAGCACCGACAAAGTAACGCATCTCATCGCAAACGCACCGATTGTCCACTTGATAATTCGATCCAGAAAGGCACCCGTCTCCTTATGCACCTTCCCGCGCTGCACCCAGAGGAGGTACACCAGCGAGAGCGTGATCACAATGTCGCCCGCGGCGGTGAGGCTCCACATCGTCAGCAGCAGCCAGTCGAACTGGACGCTGAACGCGGCGAGCGTGTCGGCCTGCAGCGCGAGCGCGAAGATCGTGAGCCCCAGGCCAAGACGGACGGCGGTGATGAGATAGGTCAGATACGCCATGACGCGCGACTTCGAGAGCACGTGGATGCGGTAGGAGAAGAAGCCCTGGACTGGGGAGTTTGTGAGATCGCATGGATGTGGAGCTGTAAGACAGGGTACCGATGACGGAGACGAAGACGGTGAGGACGATGAACCCCGTCAGCGACACGGGCGGCCGGCCGAGCAGCCGCTCCGGGTGGCCGTAGTCTGTGACGAGCCATGTGTAGAGCGTGTGTGATACGAGTCCGAGATGCGCCGCCTCGCACGCCCTAATTAAAAACGTTAACATCCGTCAGAAATTCGAGCAGGAAACGGAGGCAGCCCACCAGACAACGCCCACGAGTACCTTCAGCCGCCGGGGGTCCGTCGGGAAACGCGCATGATACATGTACGCTTGTGTGCAGCTGATCCCAAAGAGGACAGCGGAGAGGATGACCCCGACGAGGAGTGCGCCTGCAAGTGGCGTATCAGTAATTTGCTTGAGATGTATCGATGGAATACGCACCGTAAGTGGAATCGGGGTTGAAGGCCGCCATGCTTAGTCAATTTGGGACCCAGAAATGGCACTAGCAGGGCGTGCAAGGGAGGAGGTACCACTGGGAAGCCGCGAATGCGAAGTGAGAAGGGATAATATACGTCTATGGAGACGTCACCGAGTTGTCTAGCTCGGCAGAATCCTGCGGGCAGATGGAGCGTATAAGGCTTGGGCGATGCTATGCACGTCTGTAGATCAACGAGCGACAGGCCGTATATCGCGATGCTTAACGAGCATTCAGTTGGCTGGGGGCACCATGCGGATCCCGGCGTAGGCACGCTAGTAATGCAGTCGCAAGATGTCATTTTGGGAGAATCAACGTCGATGTCTTGAACGAGGTACGCCGGAAGATTTGCTTAGCCGGCTGTGCGCCGATGCCGAGGAAGTATCCGGGATCGCCGCGTTGTTTCTTGAGTAGTCGGCGCCTAAACTCCAAGAACATCAGCGACACCGTGAGGCAAGTCATAAGTATATGTGTTTAAGTACTGGTCGCGTTCTTGGGGGCAGAGAATGGGAGGTGGAAGGGATGGTCACTTGGCATCGATACAAGCCCGATATCCGCCGACATCGACCACCAACGCAAAGCCAAGGGCCGACGGTGAAAAAGAGTGAGTGACGGGAAAGAGGAAGCAGCGTGGGAGTCCATCACACGCAGTGACAGATGTGACAGTCGGAATGTTGCCTGCGCGGCCCTGATTGCTAAACCCTCAGCTCAGCGACTGGCTAAGCTGGGATGCGCTCTGATGCGTTGCAATGGCAGTAAGTATGCACATGGTCAGTGAAGACATCTGCTGCTTTGGTTAAAGAATAAATATTATAAGCCATTGAGCCGGCCGCCGGCAATCACTGTTGTCACATCGCACGTGTCCTGCACGTGGCGTGAGCCACCCTTTTTTGCTCACGCCCCTCACGGCGCCCACACCCGCTAGCCTGCTTGCCTCTCTCCCCCATGCCCGCGTCGCTGGATACTCTCCCAACGGAGATTCTCCTCGAGATCACTCACCACCTCCCGCAGTCGCTGCGCTATGCCTCGTTCTTCTCCCCTATGCTGCGCTACGAGCATACCGCACCAGCACGCAAGGTGCGCACGCAGACACTGTGTGCTTTGCGGCTCACGTGCCTGCGACTCGCTGGGGCGCTGTTTGGGGCGCTCTACGAGAGTCTGGATGTGTCGAGCCTAGACTTTGAGCGGGTGGAGGAGGCGATAGAGGATGAAGACGAAGTGGTCGAACGGGTTTTGCCAGCCGTAAAGTGCGTGTCCTTTTTCACTTCCAGAGTAATTCTCATCCTCTCTAGGTCTGTTCATGTCTCTATGCGCACGTGGATGGCAAATACTGCCTCTGAGCACGTCGTCTCGCCGTTCTCCACCGCGCCAATCATTGCCTTCCTCACATTCCTGCACTCGCTCCCTTCCCTCACCCGCCTTGAGCTCGGCGACGTCCCGCTCGCCTTCTTCCCCGTCTTCACATACGCTTTCGCCGTCCCCGATCGCGCACTCCCAGGCGTCACTGCCCTCTGCGTGACCGACAGTCTTCTCCATGCGCCAGGTCTGCCCACCGCCTTCCCGAATGCGAAGGTGCTTGCGAGCCCTACGATGTGGGCCCGCGAACGAAGCCATGTCGGGCTCGGCTGGGTGCAGACGGTGAAGGAAATGAAGGGGCTTACCGCGCTGGCGGGATTCAGGCTCGGCGAAGGAGCTGTTGAAGGTGCGCATCTGTGTCTTTTTTTCCCCAAACATTAAATAATGCCTTTGTAGTTCTGATAACTTCTGTACCATCCCTCGCCCGCCTCGCCATTTCCGGCGGCGTCCGCCGATATATGAAGCCTTTTCTTCTTGCGCTGCGGGCCCTCCCGCTAACACATCTCTCCCTCGTTTACGAGTCGCCCGATCCTGCGCAGGACCCGCCCGCGCTCGCGCCGAAGCCCGGGTCTGCGGGTGTCCCGCCTGGCGCGACGGAGGAGGACATGGTGTTTGTCAGCATGGAGGAGCTCGTGGCGCTTGGGACGGAGGTGCTGCTTGGCTATAATGTGACCGCGGGCGGGAAGGAAAAAGTGCTCGAGGTATGGAGTTACGACTTGTTGAGGGGATTTGCGGCGCATGTAGAGCACGGGCCGCGTGTCGTTAGGGTCGGCGCAGGGATGTAGCGTGAAACTGCGCTTGGAATAGAGAAAAACGGGCGTTTGCTCGTCGTGACAAGATCAATAAGCCAACCACAATAAATGAACCCAGAGCTGGACAATAGAAGAGGGGATGACTAATCTTATCAGCGCCTCGTCTTATTGTGTTTTATTGTGTACGATGAGTAAAAATAGAATGGCATTATGGCTAATTGTCATGGTAGTGCGCGAACCCACACACTCACACTTTGGTATATAATGCCTGGCGGCTTTCTTCATCAGTCCTACACAATCGTCCCTTCCCCACTCACTGTTTACACAAACATTCCGCTAGTACAACACTCAGCCACACCTATAATGCAGCCCGCACTACCCCGCACGCCAGTCCCCCTAGTCAACGAGCGCGTCATCGTGCAAATCACCTCCCTGCGCCTCTGCCCCACGACACGCCGGCACGTCGAAGAGAAGGAAGCCTGCTGCGGCTTCTGCACTGGCACCGGCCCGGACAGCCGCTGGAGCGCCGGGCAGCAAGCCAGGGCCGCGCGCACAGCCGGCCTGCGCCGGCGCGCACAGTACGTCGGCGCTTGCGGCGTCCTCATGTTCCTCGCCGCGCTCGTCTTCTCGCTCACGTGCCCCCGGCCCGGGAGTGCCAGTGACGCCGCCCTACCGCCCCCGGCGGCGAAGCGCTGCCGCGCAGAGCGCCTGGCGGTCGCGTGGCTCGGCCTCGTGCTGATGGTCCTGATGTTTGCGGCGATGCTCACGCCGGCGCGGTGGTGGAACGGCGTGCCGGACTTGCTCTCCCCGCGCGCCGCTGGGCCGGGGAGCGTTGATGGGGATATAGAGAAGACGGAGGGTGGACAGTGAAAGCTTTGACGACACCATGCTCACACTCAACAACAGGGCAAAACAATAGGTACTTATACAATATGGGATATGTAAATGTATATAAGCTGGGCTTGAAATGTGCGGTACAAGCTTGGTCAAGTTGGGGCATTTAAACAAAATGTCTCAGAATCCCTTAGTGGGTGGGATTATATTTTAGCATGACTGCTGAATTTAAGTTAGGCTTGGTTTATATGTAGAGGCATGTTTTTTTACCGGGGTTTCAGCTGAAAAATGGTCCCCAGCAGGATTTATATATAAGAAATAATAGTCTAAAACAATGGCCTTTTTTGCCACTTTGGTTAATATGCAATAAAAGCTGCAAAAATTGTATCTGATTTAGAAGAAATCAAGTTCTATATCATGGCATCAAATATCACATATATAATGACTACCCCATTCCAGATCATGTTTTGTAAACAATAAGTGCACATTATTTAAGTTCAAATATTTGTCAAAGAATAGTGTCACATCATTATTCCCCCAATTTGTTATATATAAGGGGGATTTGTCATATATAATGGCAATTTGTTACTTATTTCTGATATATTAGGTACACTTTGGTGCTGCCCTGGATTATATATATATATATAGTCTTATGTCTTATAACATATTTGGTGCATTTATTTGTTGCAAATCATTGCCATGAAATTATCAGCTGATATTGGCTCTGAGTTCAGTCCAATCTGATGACTCAATATATGCCCCAAATCAAGTCTATTTTCCTGGAGTTGTATTTATTATTGTTTCAAGTTGTGAAGATATACATTTTTTCTGTCCACTATTTATCATAACTTAATCCGACTTCAGGGCCTATTTTTTTTGGCAGAAACCTCGGTGTGACTGTGATTCAATTTATTTATAAGTATTAAGTAGGCATTTTGGAAGAAAGTGTCTTGAGGCATGAAAACTTGTCAGTGAGATAATACAGTAAGTATATTGAAGGAAAACTTCTGAGCTTGATTATAATTACTATTGCAAGCATTTTGAGTCTTGTGTACTTATTTGAGGGGTATACTGTAGTATTTTAATCAATTCGGCGCCCAAAAAGTGTGTGACATCGGCGCCGAATTGAAATTTTCGGCATCCAAGGCCTCCGAGTGTGACCGCCGAAAATTTTCGGCACATTACAACGCGGCCCCCGCAGGGCCGCGCCAGCCAAAAATGATCAGTTTACCAGGTGAATTCGGGCGTTTGTCGCTGTTGCATGTGACCGCCGAAAAAAATTCGGTGTTTTAACGGCGGTGTGACGCGTGACCGCGCCAGCCAAAAATGATCAGTTTACCAGGTGAATTCGGCGTTTGTCACTGTTGCATGTGACCGCCGAAAAAAATTTCAGCATTTTAACGGCAGTGTGATGCGTGACCGCCAAATTGATTAAAATGCTACAGTACTGTAGTATTTTACTCAGTTTAAATGTCACACGTCACACTGGCTATAAAATTCCAATTTCTTTGGTATGTCATGTCATTTTGCTTGAATTGAATTTCTGTCCTAAAGACGTAATTTCCGGGCGCCTCTGGTACCAAGAATTTCCCCATTAGGCAATAATACAAATTCAAATTTCCATATCAAATGTCACAGCATTTTTGGCATTCAGATTGAGTAAAATACTACGGTAGTTTTGGTTGACATCTCTACAGTCTTTTCATGTATAACTGTATATAATATTTAGTGCTATGCACAATTACTGTACTATTTTGGTATCAAGTATGTATGTTACTATTACATTGACCAATTGTTGAAAATCACCTTATTATGTTAATGTTTTTTTATATCAATGAAAACAATATCTTTCTATTTCCATCATTTGTTTCCCCTTTCCCCTTTCATACAAGAACACAGAGCATCTTTCTGAAAAAGTCAGAAAGATGATATTTCCTTACCTCCTTCATGCAATGCTCAAGCAGAAAGCACACTTTTCTCTTTTTCTTGAGAGATGTTCTTTCCATCTGCTATCAAAGGTGTATATGAAGAAGACCTTTCTTAAAATGGAAGGAATATATTCTTTTATCCAACAAATGAACTTGAATATAAAGAGCTTATTTATGAGAATGAATAAAAATATATCCTTTATATTGCACAAAAAGGGTATTGAAAGTCATATGGAAAGGTCAGCTTTCTAATAACTTTTCTATCTCTGCTAAAGACATCATTTTTGTTCTGACAGAAAGCATGATAAAGAGTTAGTTATTTATGAAAGACTTAATATATCATATTTCTTGTCTATGGAAACATGTATCTAAATGTGTACATTCAATACATATTTAAAAGGGAAAAAAGTTGTTGAATTTCCCATGTGACACTCATTATTAGACAGCACTATTTACCCATTGATAGGAGCATAGGAGAAAATCATTAATCCACTGTAAAAGGCTATAGAAGCAGTTAGTCTTCTGGGGTTGCCCTTCCAGAACATTTTGTCAGCATCAGCTAGAGTCTCATTAATCATTTCAGAGTTCCACAATCAATAATAGGTGATACTGAATTAATTAATTTAGACCATCTAGTCTACTAAGTACTTGTGCTAGATTTTCCTGTGCAGCCAAAGTCTCCAAATGATCCATTCCAAACACTTTCTTCAAGCCCTTAGTAGCTCTTTCACCTAGGTCCTTTGCTGCTTGCAGTTGATTCAATCTTTGGTAAGTATTTGCAAGGTGAGCATATGCAAGATATGTATCTGGGTGATCTGCTCCCAGAGCTATGGTCCGTTGCTCTACCACTACTTCCTCCAGCCTGAGAGCATCTTCTATTCTGCCCAGAAGTTTATATGTGCTAGCAAGATTGCCTTGGGCAGTGATGGTATCAGGATGAGAAGCAGACAAAATTCTTTTACGCTGCTCAAGCACCTGTTCTTCTATACCAACAGCTTCCAATAGTCTCCCCAACTTAGAGTACATTTCACCTAGATCTCCTTGTGTAGCAATTGTACTGGCATGATTGTCCCCCAGGACAATTCTAACCTGCTCTGTGACATATTCTTGCAAGGTTACTGCTTCATCCACTCTGCCTAGTCCAAAATATATCTGTGCAAGATTTCCCTGAGACAGCAGTGTCTCTGACTGATTGAGGCCTGGAGTCTGGTGAGTTACCACGGGCTCCTGAATACTCAGAGCCTCTTCATATCTCTCTAGACGTATATATGTTGCTGCAAGGTTCATCACTGCATATATGGTGCGAGGATGATCTAGTCCTAGTGACTTTTGACGCTGCTCTGCAATCTGCACTTGATACACCAAAGCCTCTTTGAATCTTCCCAGTTTCAAGTATGTAGTTGCAAGGTTTGCCTGACAAGATATTGTCTGGGGATGCACTGTGCCTAGAATTCTAGTTAATTGCTCCAGCACCTGTTCTTCCAGCCTCAATGCCTCCTGCAATTTACCTGTATTTTTATATAGAATAGCAAGGTTTGCATGAGAAGCAATAGTTTTGAGATTGTCTGGCCCTAGTGCTGATGTCTGATACTTTGCCTCCTCTTCTACAAGCGCTAGTGCTTCCTGCAATCTGCCTAGGCGATGATAAGTTCCTGCCAGATTGCCCTTTACAGCAACAGTATCAGGGTGATGTGGCCCTAAAATCCGAGTCTGCTGCTGTACTATCTCCTCTTCAATCTTCAGTGCTTCATCCCAGTTCCCAAGCTCAAAATATGTTATGCCTAGACTGTTCTTGGTGGAGATGGTGTCTGGATGATCAGGCCCCAAGAGTTGGATGCATATTTGCAGCCTGGCCCTTGCTAGAACTTGGGCTTCCTTCAACATCCCCTCCACAACAAATATATCTATGATTTTCTTCTGGAATATAAATGGTATCATCTCATGCACCTTGGTCAGCTTTGAGAGATGGAATGCTAACAGATGGTCTGTTTCATAGCCAGTACTAACAGCTGCAGCCATGCCTAATAGATTGATAGCCAAGTGCTGTTTCTGGGAGAGTGTGTTGTCTGATATTGTTGCTTGGGCCCATTCATGAACCAGAGGGTGGATGAAATATTCACCCTCCTTATAGGCCATAAGGGAGTATCTGCAGAGGACTGCTGTCATCTCTTCAAATGTCTCTTCATTCCACTCATGCTGAGAATCCTGGAAATGGGATAAAAAGTCCTGTGTTGGCTTCAGTTGCTCTGGAGTGAGTACCAAAGCATCTCCATTCTTGATCTGGGATGACAACAGCATAGCCATATAGGACCAGCACCCCTGTTTGCGTCTTGGCTTCAAAAGCTCATATCTGTACTCTGCAGACTTGATAAAAATTATCTGTGTGATTTTGTTATAGTGCAGAAATGAGCAGAGCTGCAGGAACTCTTGGGCTATTGGTGGCAGCTGTGCAAAGCTGATCTGCCAGGTGGTGTACACACTCAGAGTATACTCCCATGCTGTCTGCTTGGGCACCTGCTTCCAGAACTTGACTTTGTCCTTATGGTATCTTTCCAGATATTTGGAAGGATTTTGCTGCACTAGAGGGTTCTGTGCAATGTAGGAGGCTGCTTGAACTAGTGCTAAGGGAAAGCAGTGGAGCTCCTAGAGAGGATATGGATGAGTGACACACACCTCAGATATTTTCTCACCTCCACAATATCTATCGGAACACTATTCTCATCCCTGGGAATCCCACTTATGCTTGCAAGTAAATCAAGGGCATCATCCTTTTGCAAACTGGCTAGCTCCACAGAAAGTCCTGTGGGTCCAACAACAGTCTTCAAGTCTGTGTTGCGGGAGGTAATGATTATATTTCCATGGTTGCATCGTGGAAGGTAGGACCCGAGGTTCAGGTCAGCATTATCTGCATTGTCGAAGAGCACAAGCCATTCATCTGTAGTGGATCGCAGCCAGGTATGGACAGCATCAGTGGGATTAGGCCCTGTCAGCTTTTTTGAGGCGGGCAAGCTCTTTGAAAGCGGCAGTGATTGTGGCGGGGTTGCTGGCATCTATTTTGAATTGATCACTAAATCTATATATATCAAGGTTAGCCACTAAATGTAAGTATAAACGGGGATTGCGCACCGTTCGGAATCTGAGTCTGCGATGAATTTGAGAGCTGTCTCAGTTTTTCCGGCGCCGCCGACCCCGTAGAGGAGAGCAATCTTCTGTGTCTCCTTGCTTGTGGTGCCGAAGTGCGTTGTGAGCTGGTCGAGCACATCTTGGCGGCCGTGAAAATATGGAGACGGTGCAGGGCATTGGCGAACAGCCGGTTCTGCACGTCGTTAGGTTCTTAGCTCACATAGGGCGCTCGTGTACCTTTTTCAGCTTTCCTAACAAATATGAGTCATCGGTCAATGAAGGATGAGAGCTGCACACATCGGATGTTGGTGGATCACGGCGTTGTCGGCATACACGCTGAGCCGACCGCCCTGGCCCTTTCCGCCTCGCCCGCCCCGGCCCTGTGCGGCCCCGCCTGCGCCGCCCTTCCCGCCTGGATGTGATCAGCGTCACGCTATTCACTTAACACGGGGGACGTACCGTGCAAGTGAACGTTCATTTCGTAGTGAGCAGCGCTCGCGGGGGCGGGCTCCGGCGCAGTCTGTTCGGTGGCCATCGTGGTTAGGAGCAACGCTGACGCTGACACGTTGCGTCCACGCGTATCGCGGAATGATTGGTTCGCCGTGATACGAATCTTCGTTCCTTGTTTCTTCCCGCCACCAGCCTTGGCACGATGCTTGCCGTGCATCGTGCCAGCGATACGGCCTATTTCGAGCCCGCGGGCCACGACCTCGCCCCGCATGAGCGCTCCTCGACTCGCACGCTCTGAGCACCGTGAAAACACGCGACAAACTTCGTGCCCCTTGACGACTAATTGCGGCAGGACCCCCGACAACCCCCTTAGATGCCGAAGGCCCGACCGGGTAAAATTTGCGGAAATTTTTGCCAAGGCCGGAGGCAAACTGGGTAAAAATGGCCCAATTTTGGCCGGGGGCCTCAGGTGTAAGACTGGGTAAAAGTGACCGTCGTCTGGGGGAGCCAGAGGCCCAACCGGGTAACTTCTCCCCTCACTTGTTCTTGGTGTAACCGGCCGTACTCCGCGTGGTCTGTAGCCCCTATTAGGCTGCCGACGTCGTTCGATCCCGTCTTGAGCCAGTTTTCTCTCTCTGAAATGCGCTCCAGCCATTTCTGACCTCGCGCCTTTTTTAGCACTACCCTGTAAGGCTGGAGGTCGAAACTGGGTAAAAATGGGCCCTTTCCGGAGGCCGGAGGCAAAATTCGGGTAAAAACTGGCCAAAAACGCTCAAAAAAATTCGGGTAAAAACCCCCAAACCCGGCCTCCGGCCTCTAAGGGGGTTGTCGGGGGTCCTATTGCGGCTCCCTTTGGCTGGCGATCGGCGCTATTTTAAACATATATTTGGTGTCGATCCACGCCTTCCTCTTGCTCTCTTTCCCCGCTTTTCTGACATTCACGTAGTATGCCCTGGGAAGCACTCCAAGCGGCCGACGGTGTGTGCGTCCTTCTCTTCAAGCCGCCATCTGACCGGAATGTACCACAAGGCAGCCTCATACCCGGCTTGTCCTTCGGGACCGTCGCGCTCCCCGCCGGCCCTGCGTCGTCTGACCAGCTGAAGAAGGCGCTGGCGCGGGGAATGGTGCATTTCGGCGCGTCTCTTCGTTCCGAATTTCGGCTGAATGCTGACCGATCCGAAGATATCGGGAACTTCACGCATGCGACGGAGCTGCGCGAGCTGCTGGAGGCGGGGCCGGTGCCGCGGGCGCGCGTGTTCGTGAGCGCGCGCTGGCAGCACGCGACGGAGCCGATTGCGGCGAAGATGGTGGAGCGGCTGTGCAAAGTGGTGCGTGGTTGTCTCCAAGTTTTTTCTGAAGCAGGCGCTGCATGGGCTTCTCTGCAGCTGAATTTCGAGTCCCTTGACCTGCTGTTCATGAATGATCCTAAAGTGAAGACTGGATATCGGCCCGCGATGGGCGCAAATGGAGAAGGCCAAGACGATGGGGCTTGTGCGGTGCGCATATATTGAAGCCCTCCCCGTTCGATTTACTGCTTACCTGAGGCGCAGGAACATCGGCGTTATGAACTTTACTCGGGACCAGATAGTAGAGCTATTTATCAAGGCGAAAATACGCCCGGCAGTGCACCAGGTGCGTTCTCTGCCTTCGTTCTTGTAAATTCTAATCCTAAAGGCGCGATATTGCAGCTCGTATTCAATCCCTACGCCGACCCGCAGGCGCTTGAGATCGTGGAGCTGTGCCAGAGCCTCGGCATGGTTATCATGGCGCTGGATTTGCTGCAGTGCGTGACATTCAACTCCAACCCCTCCATCGTTTGAAGCTCTGGGTAGACCCGCAACCGCCCTCATGCCCAGTGAAAAGTCAGCGAGCCAGAATGGGATGGAATGAGACAAATTATTGGGAGAGTGTCGGCGAAAGAGATCAATCGGGACATCTTTTGACAGGTTCTCAAAGTAGCTCAATTCATCTCTTCATATCATATACATCTTCTTGTTCGCTGCCACGACCAGATTGCGTCCACTGCGCATCAACCACACATCCTGCTGCATCTAGAACTATGTACAACAACTTTGGAGATGGATATGACTTCGGAGACAACAAGAAACTCTGCAAATGTGCCGAGATATGTGGGAAAGTGACTGCTGGCGGGAAGAAAGTCAGTATACGCACCTACAATCGGCACCATGCTCGAGAGGCACCGAGCAAACCCTTGCGACGATCCGTCCCAGCACCGCTGACTACCGCCAACACATCCGAGTCTCCCGGCATATACAAACAGTCCCGTCCCCGCAGTGATTCCGACGAGAGCGCAAATGCATCGAATTCAATGCTAGAAGTATTGGTATGGGTGTATTAACAGAGCACATTTGTCCTGTCTGATTATCCCCAGGAGCCTGCAATGGACATCGATGCAAGACAGCCTCGAGTTTCTTCTCCAACATCACAGGTACGTTTGCGAGCATGTGTCAGCGTCGTAGATTCGCTGACCTCGACGTCGACTCAGCTCCACCAGTGCCACCTACTGTGACCGCACCACCAAACACCGAGCCAGCTCCACCGGTACCACCTCCCCGGCCATCGGCACCGCTTGCGAAGGGTTCAGCTGTGGCCCCACGTCCGAGTTGTTTCACAGATCGGTATGTGTACTATCTCTTTCTTGTTTTCTGGCGCTGATTTCCCGGAGGAATCTGTGTCTCATCGTGTTTGCCCATGATGTGGGCGGGACAAACAAGGAGTATCGAGCATACTGGGATGGCCTTCCGACAACAAATCCCCAGTTACGTGCTGCCTACAAAGCATACGAAGCCACTTTGGTATGCCTCCTGGGCTTCCCTCTTGCCATTCGTGTTTACTTACATATCAACAGAAGACCGCCAAGCCTTCTACCTTACCCACCGCGCAAATGGTGCAGACATGGGTCACAGACTGGATTGCAAAGCTTCATGGAGACGGGCTGGCAAACAATAACAGTGTGCAGATAGGCAGTAGCAATGGTGTAGCGCAGTAATCATTTTGGTATTCTATAGCATCATAATTATAGTCTCAAATCATCTCAAATACTCCCCGTCCATTTCTCGTTGCATCTCAGTCTGTCTCGGACCTTCCCAACATCTGATGCGGATGGCAGGAGAAAGGCATATGGCCATCTGGTATCTACTGAGATGTATTGAGAAAGCACACATCATATCTCATTTTGTCTCGACGTGTCACTGGATTTCAGGACAATTTAGCGATGAGATGAAAGCTATTGTGACGCTTAGAGCTGACCTCGATCCATCTCTCTCCACCCCGTCTCATCTCGCCGACTTCTCACTGGGCCTCATGCCCGGCTTCCTCACCGGGCCATTGTCCGAGATCGCCAAACGATGCGCGAACTCTGGCAACCGGATCCCCACCTCGGCGACGCAGGTTCTGCTCGCATGGGCCAAAGTTAAGGGCGTTGCACCGATGCTGTATGTTTCGTCAACGCATTTTCCTCCCTCAAGAGTGTGGAACCGGTGAGCTGACGGTGCAACAGGACGAAGATCGAGGACAACTGGCCCGCGGACATATTCGAGGTCGCGCACGTCGTCCGTACGTCCTTCTCGCGGTAATTCGTAGCCAAGATCTGGTGCTTATTGCTCACAGCTGCGTTGACGGCAATCGACCTCCGGATCATCGACCTCGTCGGGGCGGAGCGCTATCGACGGGACAATGCCGGGCGCGGCGCGTGACGGGGCGCTTAAGAAGGGCGCGTTCATGGTGCTGGATAAGGGCGTCGGCGCGGTGGTGAATACAGCGCTAGGGAACATGTAGAAGGACGTTTCTCTTGCTATTCATACCAGTTGAATGATACAGAATGCTTCAAGTTCTTTAAAAATCCCCAATGTGCCCTTTGTTTCTCTTCAATCGACAAGGTGTATGGCCACCGCATAGCAGTAATCCGACTCCACATCCAGCTAGTGCTGGCCAAATATGATTATATTATTTTATGGGCATAATATATTATAATCATATCATATTCAGAGCTCCAACCCAATAATATATTTGTAGTATAATATAATCATATTCAGCTGCAAAATATGAATATGTTATGAATATATTCAACTATAATCTAGTATGCATATCTCTTGATATGTTTGACATATTTGCTGCTAGAAAACAGAATCAAAAACATAAAATACATGCTGGATTGTCAGGCAACTTCCTTTTGGCCTCCCTGGGTTACATAGGACTCTCAAAATACAATCAGGGGCATTGCCACTAGTATTGGGTTAGCTAGTAGACACTTGATCAGCTCCTGACACTTGTTCCTATTAAGAGTAATGTATGAATCACCCTCTATAATAGATAATATGTGACATTTATCAGAAGTAGGGCTAACTCAGACTAAGATTAGTACTATGACTGAGTACATGGACTGAGAAAATAGCTGTAATCATCCCCCTTACTATAGTTGAATATTCTGTGACTATAATATAGTATAGTCATAATATAATATAATATATTCAAACATAATCATATTCAAGTGATCCACGAAGGGCATAATATATTCATAATATTCTGAATATATTCAATATTTAATCAAGCATAATATAATTCTGGCCAGCACTACATCCAGCCACTCCGTCATCTCCGCCTTCTCTCCCCGCTTATCCTCCTCCCACCGCGCCCGCGGCGGAGTGGTCATCCACCACCGCCAGCGCGCGGGGCCCAGCGTGCCGCTGACGATCACCGCTGCTGCCAACGCGAGCATCCCGAGTGCCACGGAGCGTCCCGGCCCCGGCTCCGGCGCTGTGCCGACAGCGACCCGGCCCGGGTGGCGCGTGATGAAGAGGACGAGCGCGGCGACGTACATCGCGGCGTAGACATAGACGTACGGCAGCACGCGGTGTAGTGCTCGGGCACGTATGGGGGTCCGGGCAGGGTAGATGACCGTGCGTTGCCGGATAAGCGAGAAGTAGCTGCCAGTGCGCGGCTTGTAGCGCCAGGCGGGGTGGTCGAGCACGGCGGGGCGTGGGCCGGTGCGGGGCCAGGGGCGAGGGGGGCGCTGCATTGAACTTGAAGCCATGTGGCTATGTAGCTCGTCACTGTGTGGTGCGTGATGTTTTGAGACTTCGCACATGGGCGTGGCCAAACGGCGTGGGCCTGCGCCAACGGGCGTGCACGCCCGTGATGGCATGGGCGTGGCGTGGGCGGGCGGGGGGGACTTCTTTAGGCCTCATCATGATGTCGGGCACCAAGGCGAGGATTGGATTTGCTTGACGGCCATGCGATGGCTAACCCCTG